TTTTGGTAACAATGACCTTCAAAAGGTAACACAAGGTTACTGACCTAAAATGTGCATGTGATCTTTTGTTTAGAACAAACATCTGGATTCTTGGTGTTATTTTACCTTTTTCAACCCGAAGTTCATAATCTAGGAACCTCAAAATTTGACCTAAGTGAGTTCACGTACAGGCCAACACACATTGTGAATTTGGTTGCCTTAGCTCTCCTATTTCTTGAGACCGCATGGGGGAGGGGCAAATTGACCCAGCCACCCGAGCGAAGTGTATCCAACCGTCCACTCGGGCGCATGTTGAGATAGGTACGCAAGCTGTGTGTAAGCATCTTAAAAGTGGGCAGCATAATGCTGACCACTTTTAATGCATAATCAGCTGGACCAATGACTGGTCCAGCTGATTCTGCACAACGTACTCGGTGACATTACTTCACCTTTCGTAACGTTATTTTGCACGGATGAGGCGTTTGCCAAAAAGCTGTACCATTGCATTTTAACTCACTTGATCTACCTCTTTGTGAAACTAACCCTGTTTATACGAGAATACGCGCAATCCCATATTGGCTAATCGGCGCCCGACCTTTCAGTCTGGTTGTCTGTGCCAGAATAGTCCCAGCCAGAATGCACGCGATGCCCGTGCCAAATCCTTGCGTGACATGCCGAAATAATTCAGGAAACATCTTCGGCTGAGCTAGCGTTGCCGTCCCAGGATGGTGGGGTTCAAGGTCTGCCTTCCCAGGATGTTGGGGTTCAAGGTCTGCCCTCCTGGGATGGTGGGGTTCAAGGTCTGCCCTCCTGGGATGGTGGGGATCAGGGTCTGCCCTCCTGGGATGGTGAGGTTCAAGGTCTGCCCTCCTGGGATGGTGGGGTTCAAGCTTTGCCCTCCTGGGATGGTGGGGTTCAAGGTCTGCCCTCCTGAGACGGTGGGGTTCAAGGTCTGCCTTCCTGTATGATAAAGATCAGAGTCTGTCCTCCTGGAATGGTAGGGATCAGGGTGTGCCCTTGTGGGACGGTAAGACTAGGGCTGTCATCCTGGATGGTAGTGGTCAGGGTCTGTCCTCCTAGGATGAGGAAGGTTCATGCTCCGCCCTCCTGGACTGGTGGGGATCAGGGTCTGTCCTCCTAGGATGAGGAAGGCTTATGCTCCGCCCTCCTGGACTGGTGGAGATCAGGGTCTGCTTTTAAAAAATCCGTACGTCTTATTGAACTTTGACCTCCCAAGCATCAGTGCCCACCCTTCCTGCCAGGGTGAGGGGCAGGCGACGGCATATTACCTCAGCAGCTGAGTGCGTCGTAAAGCCTTCATAGCATTGACCTCCCAAGCCCGCGGTGCAATCCTCAAAGGCGACGCTCTGGATGCACCCTTGCTGGAACAACGTCTGAAGAGTACAGCTCGCAAAGTATAGAGGCTGGTAGAATGTGCCCAGGCACTTAAACAATTGTTGCCTTCTGTGTTAATTTTGGACGTGATATGGCATGACGTAATGACAACTTGAAAGCTTAATAAGATGAATGCATCGGTAATTGAAGAAGGTGTTATGGCTCGGTATCTACAGAGAGAGAGAGAGAGAGAGAGAGAGAGGAGAAGAGAGGAGAGAGAGAGAGAGAGAGAGAGAGAGAGAGAGAGAGAGAGAGAGAGAGAGAGAGAGAGAGGAGAGAGAGAGAGAGAGGGGAGAGAGAGAGAGAGAGGAGAGAAGAGAGAGAGAGAGAGAGAGAGGGAGAGAGAGAGAGAGAGAAAGAGAGAGAGAGAGAGAGAGAGATATAGATAAAATATGTATAATATATATATATATATAAAATATGTATATATGTATATATATATATATATATATATACATATATATATACATATATATATATATATATATATATATATATATATATATATATATATATATATATATATATATATATATATATATATATATATATATGTGTGTGTTTTGAGTTCAAAGGATGACAAATTGTGCACTACCGTTGGAAAACATCTTTTGGTACGGAGAACATAAATGAAGCATAACTAATTGAGGTAAGACGAACTGCTATTTTCATTTTCATACATGTAAGAAACACTCACAATGGGAACATCACAAAGACACAATAGGAACACTATTGTCACATTCACACCAGAAGTGCTCACCGCCCACCACCTAGTAGTTCAAGAGTTCTGCAAGAATTTGTCTGTCTGTTTAAGGCCGGAGAGAGTTCGCTAATGAATATGCTTTCCCAAATGTGAAGGCATCTTCTGTCACCGCACGTCCGTAAAATGTCAGTGCTGTTTGTCAGTTGTTGTCTTGTCAATGTCATGTCGTGTCCCTGTCGCATGTGGTCCAGAGGTGCCCCGTCACGTAAGTGCATTGTGAGGCGTCGTGAGAGTGTCGTTGTGGTCACACCAATGTAGTGTATGAGACGAAGTTTGCAGCCTTCGATGTTGCATTGGAATTGATACACTACATTGGTGCATTTCAGTCTGTCGTGTTTGTCTGGGCTGTTTCTCATAAGAAGGTTCGATATTTTCTTATTACAAAAGTAAATGGCAATGTCTATTTTGTGGTTGTTTTTGCCTTTCACATGTTTATAAATAATTTCCCTAAAGCATTTTCGTCCTGTTTGTGGGCAGATGTCATTTGATTTTGATAAAACAGTTTGCCGGTCGGTTGAATGTCTTGCATTGGTTTGCCTTCAAAGTGTCTTGTCATATGTCGTTGTGTCTCGTTTTCAACGTCAGAATTTGAAAAACCGTTGTTCACCAAGATCTGTCTGATTCGTGTCAATTCTGAATGTAGTCCTGTCCGTTCAGAGCAGTGCTTAAATGCTCGTCTAAGAAAGGACCTTATGACGCTAATTTTGTGGCGTCGAGGACACTCACCGTCAGCATTTAAGCACCGTCCGTTGTTAGTCTGTTTTCGGTATACAGTCGTTTTGAATTGTTGTCCTTGTCCATCGACAGCTACGTCAAGAAAGGGTATTACGTTTTGCACACTTGGCTCTGTTGTGAATTTTAAGCCAGACCGTTCTTCAAGAGTGTTTTTGAGATGTCCTGGTTGGTCAATGTCCCTAACTTCTACAAAGATATCGTCTACGTAGCGGCAGTAAATGTCTGGTCTTATGTCGTCATTCTGTAGTATGTCGGCTTCTACGTGTCCCATAAAGAAATTAGCGAATAGAGATCCTAGAGGTGAGCCCATCGCAACACCCTCAATTTGGCAATACATTCGGCCATCGGGCCCGCGGAAAGGAACTTCCAACGTGCAGGCTTTTAGTAATTGTTCAAGAAGGCGCCTTGATATTTTGAGAGGAGGAATTTCAGGATGATTGTAGACGCGGTCAAGGATGATGGATATGGTTCTTTTAATAGGCACGTTTGTAAATAGATTTTCAACATCTAGAGAGGCTAGCAGGCCCTTAGGTTGACGAGATCGCACTATATCAGTAAACTCATCCGTTGATGACAAGCTGTAAGACATGGGAAGATATGGGGACAGAAGACCATTAAGACATTTTGCAATTCTATAGTTTGGTGAAGGGATCTGTGAAATTATTGGACGAAGGGGGTTGCCATTTTTGTGAGTTTTCACAGACCTATAAGCATAGCCAGGCGCAAATTCACCCGTTATCTTGGAAAAGTGTATGCCATCAACAGCGGCATTGGCAGCAGTGATTAGTTTGCTAAGCTTGGTCTTGAGTTTGTCTGTTGGATCTCTTGTGATGCGCCGGAACTTCTTGCCGTCGTTCAAGATGCAGTTTAGTTTCTCATGATATTCCTTTCTGTCAAGTATCACGTAGAGTGATGATTTGTCCGCTCGCCGAATGATGATGTCGTCTTTTTCTTGAAGTTCCTTTGCCGCTGTCCTGAGTTCTTGCGTGAATATCTTGCTCCCGTCATTTCCACGCTTTTTCGTGCTCTCTCCTAGTAAGCTGTTGTTTAGATCCTTGTGCACGGTTACCTTGTTCTCTTTTTCCAAATTCAAGATATCCTGGTAAAGAATTTCTAGTTCTACTTTCTTCTTAAGTTTGTCTAGTTCTACTTCTTTTTAAGTTAAGTTTGTATATATATATATATATATATATATATATATATATATTCTTCTCAGAGCTTTGTAATATACCATACATTAAATACGTTTATCAGTATATCGAAAGATGCTTTCTTTTTCTTTACACCCCAAAATGCGATGGTCGCTTTAGCAGGAACATAGTGGCTGCTCATCGAGTTTAACTTCTCTTCCTGTAGTGCTAGACTTTTTCCGCCCATTCATTTTCAGCTGCTGGTACTTGTCTGTTTTGCGTCTTAGTCTATTGATTCATGTTCCTGTTGTGACTCGAGGTGCCAAGAGTTGGCCAGAGTTAGTTTTAAAGTGAGATCGGGCTGGAAACTTGCACAACACTGGCTGCGTTTTTACCAAGTGAAAAATGTTGATGCTGCTTGGGCACATCAGTCGGCAGCACTCAGCCTGTCTCTTGTGTTCAACATCAAATCAAGCAAGCGATAGGTCTGGACGCGATAAACAGCTATGCAATGGAATTTTTGCTAAGAAGACAACTTGTTTGGGAATAAAGGGAAGAAGAACATTCTGGCGCTATAACCTCGCAGGGATTTTTAAAGTTTTAAGGGGAAGTTTTACGCGGGGAATGAGACGCAGCGTTGGTATCATGGATGGAATAATCGCTCGGACTGTCGTCCTCGCCTGGTGTGTTTGCATGTACACAGCGTTGCGGCCGGGCAACACTCCGGTCGCCGTCGCGGGCTATACAGTTGTTTTCACCGTGAGCCAAGCGATCCTTTCTGGTTGCCAGGGCCCTATTCACATTGATCGTATCCTCCCGAGTTGTGTTAATATCTCCAGTCCTGTTTCCCACTGGATACGTCTTTTATCTAGATCACTGTTTCAAGTTGGTTCCTGAATGCTTTTTCAGGTAGGTACAATGTGATGCGGCTCACATCGACTGTGAGCACTTTGCAGGCCCGCAATACGTCGTGTAAGGCGCTCTCTGCGCTATTCCAGGTGTACTGGGTCGGTCCCACCTTCGGCGGAATTTTGGCCGGCTTCACGTACGAGTTCGTTCACGAGTCGTCGGCGCAGGGGCGCTGGGTGCGCCGCTCGTTCCGACGGCGGCCCGGCGCACCGCTCAGAGGTCACCTGGGTCAGCGAGGTCACGGCCAGCTGGGGCGCGAGGCCAGCGGCATGAGCAGCATCACCACCGACTGCTTGCAGCCGTCAGCCGCCGAAGACGTGTCCAGCATCAGTCGACATTAGGGGATGAGGCTGGGGCTGACAGACTCAGAGACCAGGGCTGACAGGTTTGGAGACAGAGAATGGCGGCCTGGGGGCGGGCGTCGCGGCCCAGGGCTGTGGCTGACTGATGCGGAGAATGGGGCTGACAGGTTTTTCATCGGGGCAAGCAGGTCCAGAGACGAAGGTGGACAATACAGAGACCACGCCTAGCAGGTACTCAGACCTGGCCGGACTAGACCAGCGTCGAGCCTGGCACGTTCAGGCCGTGAGGTTCGGGTGTCAAGACCAGACCGGCCTGGTCTGGTGGCAGTGGCTGGCATATCCAGACACCCCGGCTGACGGCTCCATGAATCGGGACCCACCGATCCCGAGACTAGAACAGACACACCCAGAGACGTGGGCTGGCATATCCAGACACCCGGGCTGACGTCTCCATGAATCGGGACCCACCGATCCCGAGACTAGAACAGACACACCCAGAGACGTGGGCTGGCATATCCAGACACCCGGGCTGACGACTCCATGAATCTGGAGACACCGATCCAGAGACTAGAACAGACATACCCAGATACGTGGGCCGACATATCCAGACACTTGGGTCGACAGCTCCATGAATCGGGACCCACCGATCCAGAGACCAGGCCCTGACAAACCCAAAGACGAGGGCTGACAGGTCCAGAGATGACGATAAGGCTCATTTGATAATGATCATGATGTCTGACAGGGGACAGCTGACAGCAGCCAGTCAGCGCACCGCCCCGGTTCGCATGATTCAGGACAGTGTGTCAGACATTTGAATGCATGATTGTTGCGCCGAAATGTTAAGAATGCGTGTCCCGCCGATTGGAATGTGTAATACACCGCGAGTTATACAAATGCATCATTTTGACATTGGTGTGCTGCGTTTAATGGAAATGTTCAGCGACTTTGCATTGCTTAACGCAATTAGCCGTGCAACTTTAGAGCGGTAATAAAATAAAATCAACAACCTTTTGGGGTGCAGCCACTGTCATTGTCATACACGTACTTGGTGCTTACTGCGATGTTGTTTTGATGCATTGCAACGTTCTTAACATGCTTTAAGTTCTGTGTTGACTCTGAGATGCATATTTGCAAATATACGTGTCCACTTCTGCTACTGCTCACACCAAAAACCAGGCCAATCTGTTGTCTTGTTTTCGCATTACTATGTTTGCTTTCAACAGACTGCTAGCTTGACGCATATCAAATATCCGCCCACAAACCAAATTCCCCTAGGTAAACAACCATACGCTTTGTCAGTTACAGTGACTTTCGGAAATTTAGCCGGATCTTTTTCTCGTGCTGCATTTCGTTAATTCTGATCTAATTCATGTCTGCCGTGCTAGGTTACATAGGTATGTATCATTTTGGAAGCAGCTCACAAAAGATGAGGAACGAGGAAGTAGCACTGACGACATGGTCCAAATCCGATGGGTAATAGGTGATTGCATATTGTTGCGTGAAGGTCGGGCTGGTGTTGGTTTATTGATTCATGCATGATCTTAACGCTGCGTGTATCCGAACTGCTCAAAGTACAGGCCTCCAAGTGGTGCTATCAGTTTTATGTGGCTGCTTACACCCGTCTGTACTATTTTATATACTCTCCTTCCTCATCTCTCTCTCTCTCTCTCTCTCTCTCTCTCTCTCTCTCTCTCTCTCTCTCTCTCTCTCTCTCTCTCTCTCTCTCTCTCTCTCTCTCTTCTCTCTCTTCCTCTCTCTCTCTCCTCTCTCTCTCTCTCTCTCTCTCTCTCTTTCTCTATCTCTCTCTCTCTCTCTCTCTCTCTCTCTTCTCTCTCTCTCTCTCTCTCTATCTCTCTCTCTCTCTTCTCTCTCGCTCTCTCTCTCTCCTCTCTCTCTCTCTCTCTCTCTCTCTCTCTCTCTCTTTCTCTTTGCACCGTATCTTTTAAGTCACCATATCCCTTTTCACATCACTTAATACTTTTCAAATATTCGCGACGCAATTTGGTCTAGCTGTTCTATAGATTTCAATATCACTTCTAACGTGGCATACCGGCTAGCAATCAACTCTAACAGAACACCAGGGCTTGTCAGGTGGCCATGCCTTCCAATGACTAAGCTCATAAGCTCCCTGTGCTCGGGTAATCTTCCAATTCTATAACAATTGGTAGCCTTGCGAACCCTGGCAGCCAACATGGAAATGCTTTTGACTACGAGGGTATTAAGTGTTACGGTGCTGGGTTGAAATACGAAGGCATTTAAAGCCTGGTAAGTCCCGGACAGAATGTGTCCGACACTGGAATTTAAGGTAATACGACACAAGGACTGGATAATTTTATTCATCGAACTTGCCTGGTAAAGGCCTGTGGGTCACATTACATCACTGCAGGCTTGCCATCGACGGTTTAGAGTGAAACGACCGCTGTGGACGGGCAACAAAGCTGCAACAGGTGGTAGAGGACAAGCTTCATCAATGCTTGTAGGATCGAGGAGACCACCATCCATTCCAGCGACTTCTCAACTGCTTTAACGATTCATGTGGTTGTATTCTGGGTGGTACCACAAAGGCTATCAAATCACAGTTGTAGAGACATTCATACACATGTTATATACCTTATAAGAATTGCTAGCGTGTCTCAGGACAAAAGGGGTACACCACTCAGAACGGAAGCAAACGGTGGACGAAATTATGTGAGTTTAGGCAATTGAGAAACATGCCAAGTAATCGAAAGCAGTGTCGTCATTAGGGTCGTAATGCTACACGGTAACACATGGGCAACAAGTTCCAGGTCAGGCGAGCCGGAAAACAGCGGGAGGCAACTCACCACAAGAGCATTCTCACTCGCGCTGGCACCACTTAGCGTAACAACGAAATATGTGGTGGCGTGCGTTGTTTGTTACGCCTGGGGGCATTGCTTAACGTACACGGATAGTGACAATCAGGCGGTGCCTGGCGGTGCGACTGAAAGAGCTAACACTTGTTCAGATTTACTTTCTGTTAATTGCAAATTCGTGTCAGTATCCCGAGTCCAAACTGCACTGCTCATCCTAGCACTGGGCGCACGTTACTACGGTAAGCCTCAATGAGAGAAATTTCACTACAGCTTTCCGGTACACTTAGCTGGCCTCGAATGTACAGACCTGAAGTGCGCTTACCGCGTTTCGCGGTGGAGCAAGTATAGTGCGAAAAGTTAAATTTTCTTCCAATGGTAAGGCCCAGCTTAAATGTCAGCATTTGCGATAACGTTAAGCTGTGACTAAGCTGTGCCCCAACAACGCTGAAATGCAACGGGCGACTTTTTGAAGTGATTTTTTAAAGGTGGGAGCATTTCATGAGGCTCATAGCGCGTGAGACATAGATGGAAGTAAGTCTATTTAGGCCGCATAGAAGGGCACCGTCACAAGAACCCTTGATGTATCGAAAGATCTTCAGGCCGACGGCGTACAAAAGAACAATTGGCTCGAAAGATGTGGAGATGCCATTGACACACGCTGAAAGGATGCCATGACCGAGAATCGCTCCCTCTGGGAACTCACTGGAATCCTGAAACCATTCAGAAGCAGCTCTGCCGTCAGTAGTTTGCTATCCGACAAATGCGTGAGAAACGAGAAGTGAAGTATGCGACTGGAAACATCCCATGAATTATGTGGGTTGTAAGACAAAGTGTCATCGGCTTGTGAAAAAAATTTCAAAATATGATTTGCCCGTCATGGCTTGATTTGCATGAGATGTGTTGAACCATCGAAGACATGAACTTTTAGAAAAACCTGAATCAACGGGCTCTGCCTGCTGCCTAGGCAAGAGACGTCATAGACGTGGCTCTGCATAGCTAGCTCCGACCAAGATGTCTTCAAGGATTGGATGACAATATGTAATACGCAGATTGCGTTGATCCATTATGTCCTTTAAGCTATGATATTGATCCATGGGTTGAACTGAGCTATGTAGGATCACAAACTTTCTAAGCGACAAGGATCAGAGAAGGTCAGATCTTCACTGGCCTCAACAGATTGCGCAGCATCATTCACCACCATCTCATCTCAGGAAGAAAAAATCTGCCGAGCTCAAGTGAGTTTTTCGACTCATTGTCATTCATTTCAGTTTGAGACTGAGGTCAACCGTACAATCGTGCAGAATGCAGATGCATCTACCGTTGACTGCAAGTTCCAGTTAAACCGAAATCTTATGGATCATGTAAGTCATTTCATTTTGGTTGGGTGATGTTCTGAGAAAGTTAAGCTAAAGGCAAAGCTTTGATGTGCCACGACGACAATATCGCTTTTTATTAGTTTCAGCGTGTGGAACTCCCTTTTATTTCGCGCGCTATCTGCCTTTTTTGCACCCGACGCACGGAAAGCTGCATTGATGAAATGGCGTTGATTTATGCAATGCTTCGTTTGGTGCTGCAAGGGTCCTATCGAAATACTGATCCTGTTGTATCAAATGAAGTCCATAATTTTCCTGACATTTGCTGGCATCGCCACGTCCTATCCTGTTCCAAACGCCGCCACGTCAGTCGGGGAATCGGCTGCGATCCTTCTTGCATGCTTACGGCCTGTCAGCCGTCCGCCACTCGCGGCACAGAAGCCGCCGGCGACCATAGTGCCCGATATGGGAGGCCATAGACGTCGGGCGGGCCAGATGCCGCCACCCTGAGGCCCTCTCGACACCGAATGGCTTCGACCCGTGCCGCGGCCAACCGGCGCCGGCCGGCCTTGGCGTCAGAGCAGCAAAAAAGGCAATACTCTACGTCTGGCTCCCCAGGGAACGTGGAGTGGAACGCCCGGTGACAGGCGGCCGAGTGAGTGCGACACCCCACACGGCGTCCGAGTGCCGTGTTGTGCTGCTGGGGCACTGCACCTGAGCGGTAACCGTACGTTTGCATCATAGTTCGCGACACCTGTTGGGAGCTTGTGATCATATGGATGCAAGCGAACGTAGGTGGGATAAAGGAACGTTTAACACTTCACGATTCTATGCACAAGGCGTATCCTATGCGCGGTGCCTGTACAAAACGCATGTGTAGACAGTATTTGAGAAGTATGTTTATTACCATCGACAGTGCAGATATCACTCAGAGAGAAGCATGCGGGCCCCAATAGAATGCCAGCTTATCAGCGCCAGATCGGCACAAACAAGCCCTATCGCGAGGAGAACATGAGCGTAATAGCAAAACATTTCGCCTTCTGACCAAGTCTTAACAACCGACGCCCAGTTCATCAGAACCGACCACCAGGTTTTCAGCACCGGCGGCAAGGCCTTCCGCATAGGTGGAAGGGCTTGCAATACCGATCGCCATGTCTTCTGCGCTGGCGTCCAAGTATTCAGCACCGGGCTCGAAGTTTTCAGCACCGACCAGAATGTGGTCAGGCGACCTAACAGATGCCGTCGCACCCACCGTCTAGCCCAATACTGGTAGGCGGCTATCTCGTCCGCGTCACATCCGCAGCCCTTGTAGCGTCAGGTAGCGGGCCAGTGCGTCAGCGGCTTCTGCTTCCTCTCGTGCTCCCACCTCTGCTCCCACGCGTCCGCCCACGACTCCATGTCCGGTTCGTGAGCGGAGCCACCGTGGCGTGACCTGGACCAGCTGCGGGGACGGTAGTGCTCTGGCGGCCCGGACTCGCGGCGTGGCGAGCGTGACACGAGCACGAGCGGACCCTTTCTCTGTCCGTCTCCCGTCCACCGCTGCTGGCTGGGCGAGCGCTCGCGAGACAGAATGTCGCTCGCCTTCCGGTGCTTCTTGTGATCCTTTGCCAGCCGCATATGGGTCTTCACATCTGCCGACAACTTTCTGTGCACGCTGCAGTCACGCTTCGGCATAGGCAGGTCCCGGTCCAGCGACAGTGATACGCGGTTGCGGTGGTGGTGATGATGGTGCTTTAAGTTGTGCTCCGACGACGGCGGGTAGATGGGGAGATCTGCGAGGGGATCCATCGGATGTCGAGGAATTGCCCCGGCGTGTCCAAACGCCTTCCTTCTCACGGCTATCCAGCACGTTGTCCTGGACGGGCTCCGTGCTGGGAGGCTGCTCCCACGACACGTCCCGCGTCGGCCTCTGGAAGCTCCTGCTACGCCTCGAGATCCGGCCCGGCCTCCGCCGCTCTTCCCGCGCCACGT